GACTCCCTTGTCCGCTCCACACTCCCCTCCAGCCCCACCACACCCGGCACTTTTCACTGCAACTGCAGGAAGTGCGACACCTGCCCCTACACCTCCCCCCTCACCCCCATCCCAGGCCCCAAGAAGACTTTCCACATCAAGCAGATGTTCACCTGCGCATCAGCTAATGTGGTATACTGTATCCGCTGTTCCCGTTGTGGCCTCCTCTACATCGGGGAAACCAAGCGGAGGCTTGGGGACCGCTTTGCGGAACACCTACGCTCGGTTCGCACTAAACAACTGCACCTCCCAGTCGCGAACCATTTCAACTCCCCCTCCCATTCCTCAGACGACATGTCCATCCTGGGCCTCCTGCAATGCCACAACGATGCCACCCGAAGGTTGCAGGAACAGCACCTCATATTCTGCTTGGGAACCCTGCAGCCCAATGGTATCAATGTGGATTTCACAAGTTTCAAAATCTCCCCTCCCCCTACCGCATCCCAAAACCAGCCCAGCTTGTTCCCTCCTCCCATTTCTGATGAAGGGTCTAGGCCTGAAACGTCAGCCTTCTTGCTCCTATGATGCTGCTTGGCCTGCTGTGTTCATCCAGCTCTACACCTTGTTATCTCAGATTCTCCAGCATCTGCAGTTCCTGCTATCTCTAAGTCTCATGTTCTTTTGCCTATTGGGGACACTTCAGTAAATGGCTGGACTGGAGGCTTTGGTTCGTCCTTTGCACTGTTTACGATTCTGAGCCAAGGTGAAATTCAGCAGCAACAGCAGTAGCAATAGCAACAACAGCTTGGAATGAAACTCTCTCTCTTATACAATGTAACAAACAGCCAGCATAAAGAAAGCAGATACAGCAAGACAAAACTGCTGGCTGGTACAGACAACACAGGGTGGGAAAACAAGTGCAGGTGTCATCTTTGGCTTGTAAAGGTATGTTCACAGGACTCATGACTCATTCAAGGTCATGCAGCTTGTTAAGCATTATTCTAAACTTTCCCAACCTGTTTTCCCATCCTGTACAATCTATTTTCTCATGCAGCTGTTGAATATCATCATTAACTTTTAGCCCGTCGACCCTTCCCATACATGCTGTTGGAAAGGGTGTTCCAGGATTTTAACCCAGTGACCGTGAAGGACCAATTGTGTAGTTCTCAGTTTAAGTGGTCTGTGGCTTGGAGGGTAACCTGGTGTTTCCACGCTCTGAAAACTTTGTTCTTTTAGATAATAGAGGTTGTGGGTTGTGGAAGGTGTTGTCAAAGGAGACATAGTAAGTTGCTATAGGGCATTTTGTAGATAGCACATTGTGCTGCCTCTGTGTATCAGTGGTGAAGGAAGTGAGTGGTTAAGGCAATGTACTCTGCAGTCGTTTAATGACATTCTTGACTTGGGAGGCATCTTGAACAGTTGCTTGTAGCATACCTTTTAATCTAAGTGGTATGCCTCGTGAACTATGCAGTTGCACTGTTGTCAACTGTAGAATTTTTTTTTAACCATAGCTCATTATCTGATACATTTGTAGCGCACACCATGATATTTAATGCAAAAGTAAGGAGATAGCCATAGACATAAACAAGAGCTTGCCAAAATGATTAATGTCAATTAACTATTTCCCCTAGGAACATTTTAGGTTTCTCCTCTGTTGTCGATTAGTCTAAAATCATTAAACACTTTGTGTGGGTAGCTCCTTGATTTCTAAAGCAGTGTCCTACTTTACATATTTTCAAAAGTGATACTTGTGTATCAGATAAAGCAGTCACTTTTACTAACTGAACATTATCTGTGCTTGTGAAGTTTCTTTGCTCCACAGCACTGACAAGGACATTGAGTGTCTAGTGCCTGTCCTTCTCATTGTATTAGTTCCTCACTATTGATTTGGTTTTGGTTTTGGGTTTGGGCCTTGAAAATTCAATGAACTCTGCTAATCTCCTTGGCCAAGGGTGATCTTCACTTCTGTGGATTAATCTGTGTTGCTTTCAGACTTCTGCTTAACTCACTATTTGAATGGCTTTCTCTGCAGTCAGGGCTGCAGTAAGTCAGACAGAGACTCATCATTAATTCCTGCAGAACTTCTGTCTCTTATGAATTCTGACCTGAAGTTCACCACAGTTGCTTTTTTCCACTAATCTGTAAAGATTATTAATGAAATCATCTACTCCCTTGAATGCTGGACACTTCTGTCAAACCTTGCTCTTTCAAGAATTTTAACACTTCTGTGGTAGCAGTAATTTTCAAAGGCTTTCAATACCTGCTGTTTCTTGAAAAAGTACCTCTTGTTCCTTGAAAAATCAGGGCTAATTTTGTTAGAATGGAAAAGGTTACAATATCTCAGTGACTGCTGAAAGGTGTAATAAATGGAAAAAAGCCAGCAATTTTTAATGTAACAAAACATCTTAAAGCACATAACCCCTGTACAATATCAATAGTCTTTTTTTAATATCAAGCCACAGAAGAAGGTATCAAAAACTGGTCAACATTTAAAACAAGGAAAGAGATTTAGACTAGAGCAGAGTTTACAGAGGGAATTCCAGTGCCCAGGGCCATTGTGGCTGAAGGCATGGCAGCCAATAGGAGAGAGATTAAAATCGGGATGTGTAAGAGAACAGAACTAGAGGAGTGCAGAGATTTCAATGTCTTGTAGATTTGGGGGAAGCAATTGAAATAAAGAAGTTTGAAGCCATCAAAAGATTTGAAATCCAGAATGAGGATTTTAACACTGAGATGCAGCTTGATCAGGATTCAGTTTCAATCTCCAAACACAAGTGATGGATAAATTAAATTTGGTTCAAGTTAGGATATAGGCAGCACAGATTTGGATGAAACAATGCTAGAGAATGCTGGAGAAATTCAACTGGTCTGACAGCATCCATGGAGAGAGAAACAAAGCTAGTGTTTCAGGTCTGAATGACTTTCCTCTCAGACAAGATACATTCTCTCCCTTTTGCACCTTAATTTACACTTATTTTACATCTCTTTTGCTATTTCATTGCTATTAACAATCGTAGAAACATAGAAAATAGGAACAGGAGTAGCCCAGTTGATCTTGCAAGCCTGCTGTGCCATTCAGTATAGTCATGGTTGATCATCCTATTCTGTATTCTGTTCATGTTTTTGCTGCATACCCTTTGATCCCCTTAGCCCTCAGATCGATATCTATCTCCTCCTTCAAAACATTCAATCCCTTTGTGTTTTGCATTGGGCCCCTATACCATCTGCCCCCATGCGCTGTTAAAAGTATTCAAAAAATCATTTTCCTACACCTTTCAGAAGAGTCACACCAGATTCAAAATATTATCTCTGATCAGATAACCCACTGGATAGCTTTGATATGTTCTAGTTCTGTGCCAACCTTACAAAGTGGGAAAATAGCTAGGGCTCTTTTTACAATACTGCTGATAACACAAACATAGAAAATAGGAGCAAGAGTAGGCCATTCGGCCATTTGAGTCTGTTCCACCATTCATTATGATCATGGCTGATTAGCCAACGTGATAGCCTGTCCCCCTCATTCTTCTGAACCCCAGCAAATGTAAACCTAATTTAACCTCTGCTTATAAATCAGTTCCGCTGGATAACATTTTGTAAACATTCACAGCACTCCCTCTGTAGCAAGGACATTCTTCCTCAGATAAGGAGACCAAAACTACACACAATATTGCAGGTGTGGCCTCACCAAGGCTCTGTATAATTGCAGCAAGACATCCATGCCCCTGTACTAGAATTCTGTCACTGTGAAGGCTAACATACCATTTGCCTTTACCATCTGCTGCACCTGCATGCTTACTTTTAGCATCTTGTGTATGAGAATACCAAAATCTCATTGCACGTTCCCCTCTTTCAATTTATAACCATTTAGATAATAATCTTCTTCCTGTTGTTGTCTCTAAAGTGGATAACCTAGCATTTACCCACATTATACTGCATCTGTCATGTGTTTGCACACTCAGCTTGTTCAAATCACACTGAAGTATATCTAAGTCAGCTTCACAGCTAACCCTCCCACCCAGATTTCTGTCATCTGCCAATCTTCCTTTTCATAGATCGAAAAGAATTCCAATGTATACATTGACTGGTAAAGTTAGGCTTATAGTAGCTTTCAATGAACAGATTTGCAAACTAGGACAGTTGAAAAGGAGCATGTTAGACAATTCATCACAAAAGTGAATGAGAATGGGATGGAGCATATTAAATGAATCGTCACACATGGTTGCAGACACAAAGATCATGAATGTATCATCTACATATCAGAAATATGCATGGGAGGTTAGGACACAGTCTGCAAAAACAAAATCGTAATAAACTAACAAAAATGTCAGTGAAAGCTGGGCCTACACCAGCTACTTGGACGTACGTAGTGTCACTAAATCTGAAATGGACTGCACAACTTGTAAAGTTCCTATGTTCAATGAATATGGATTTCAGAAAATGGAGGAGTACTTACATTGCTGTCACATAATATGGCACAAGTGTGTGTTAGTTGGTAGTTTTCAATTGGTGGATTTTCCTGATCTGCCTCATGTTTGTAATTGATGGATTTTCCTATCCGTAATTTGAACAAATTATATGGTTAACAGATAATTATTTGAAAACTGTGTGACAGATGTTTTGCACTTTTGATACTTCCAAGTCTGATTTACATAGGAGCACAAGCTTGATAAATAGCTTTTATTTATTTAGGTATACATTTTATTTATTTTTGTGAGCTTGAAGTCGGGTTTTACGGAGAATTTTTCTATTTTCAGGCCGGTGTAGATTTTCTCTTTGCATTTTCTTCAGTGATGCTAGATCAATTTTCATAAATTGCAGTTTCATTATTTTTGTATTCTAGGTGAGTTATGTTCTCACACATTCCCAGCAGGATCTTGGAGACAATACAATTACATATTACATCGGGGTGATGAAAATTTAATATTTAAAAATATAAGGAACTATTAACACTGTAACTACACCTATTCATGTCATTGGGCTTTCATTAGGATGTTAAAGCCTTTTCATTATTTTTTTTCTAGCTTAAAAACAAGAAAAATGAATTGGTAAAGGGTCCACACAACGTGACATCATCGGTGAGCGTTAATGCTTTTTTGAAATTATGTTATATTCTTTCTCCAACCCCTCTTTCAGGTCACTCCATGTCATAATCCGTGAAAGAGTAGATTGATGATCTGGCCTCAGACCCCTCAGCACTGACTGCCAGGAGATAAGCAAAAGTGACTGGGAGTGGCAATAACTCCCACTAACATAAAGTAGGGTGATGACAGGACTTCACAGTCCCCACGCACCTTCGTTCAATTCTGGAATTTACATTGCACAGAGCCACATTTCACCATGATCTTTTTTAAATAATTTACTCTTACGTAAGTTTAAAAATAGCAGGAACAATTGGAAAACAGTTCCATAGTACAATTGCTGTCTTGTGTATGCTATTCAGATATGGGAAGGATCCTAAAGGCAAAGTTTTTTTCTGGGAACTTTATGTTTTCAGGATTGTGAATCACCTCAAACAGATGTAAAAATTGGATTGGAGGATTTGAAATCGTGCAATATTGAAAAGGCAGTCAACAATAACAACAATATAAATATAGACCCGTTGATGTCATAAGACATCCCAAAAGGCTTCATAGGATCATTATAAAATATGACACGAAATCATATTTGGTCTGATGATTGGTGTAGATGCATGAAGATGTAACTAATAGAGTTGACAAGAGGTAGCCGGTTGATGTGGTATATTCGGACTTTCAGAAAGCGTTTGACAAAGTCCTGCATAAGAGATAAAGGCACATGTGATTGGGGCAAGTGTATTGAGATGGATAGAAAACTAATTGGCAGAGATGAAACAAACAGTAGGAATTAATGGGTCCTGTTCAAATTGGCAGGCAGTAACTAGTGGGGTGCCATAGGGATCGGTGCTGGGACCCCAGCTATTCACAATATATATTAATGATTTCAATGAGGGAACGAATTGTAACATCTCAAAGTTTGCAGATGATACCAAGTTGGGTGGGAGGATGAACTGTGATGAGGATTGAGAGAGATCCTTCAGCATGATTTTTACAGGTTGGGTGAGTGAGCAAATCAGTGGCAGATACAGTATAATTTGGATAAATGTGAGGTTAATCACTTTGGAAGCAAAAACAAAAAGGCAGATTACCAACTGGATGGCTGTAAACTGGGAGAGTATCAGCAGGACCCCAGCAACCTAATGTACCAGTCGCCGAAGGTAAGCATGCAGGTGCAGCAGGCAGTAAAGAAGGCAAGTGGCATGTCGGCCTTCGTTGCGAGAGGTTTTGAGTACAGGAGCAGGCATGTGTTGTTGCAGTTATACAGGGCCTTGGTGAGGCCACACCTAGAATATTGTGCAGTATTAGTTTCCTTTTCTGAGGAAGGATGCTCTTGCTCTCAAGGGAGTGCAGCAAAGATTTAGCAGGCTGATTCCAGGGATGGCGGGACTGATGTATGAGGAGAGATGGACTAGGTTAGGATTGTTTTCACTGGAGTTCAGATGAATGAGGGGCGATCTCATAGAGACTTATAAAATTCTAACAGGACTAGACAGGGTAGATGCTGGGAGGATGTTTCCAATGGTGGGTGTGTCACAGTCTGAGAACTCGGGGTAGACCACTTAGGACGAAGATGAGGAGACATTTCTTTACCCAAATAGTGGTGAACCTGTGGAATTCATTTCAGTAGTTGGTGCCAAAACATTGAATGTATTTAGGAGGCAGCTAGATATAGCACTTGGGGCAAATGGAATGAAAGGTTATGGGGAGAAAGCAGGATTAGGCTATTGAGTTGGATGATCAGCCATGATCATGATGAATGGTGGAGCAGGCTCAAAGGACTGAATGACCTCCTACTACTCCTATCTTCTATGTGTCTATGTTTCTGTGGTCAATAAGGTAAGTTTTAAGCCACGTATTAAAGGAGGAATGCAAGCTAGTGAATTAGAGAAGCTTAGGGAGGAAGATTTAGAACTGCAGTTGAAGCTGTGGCAACCAATATTGGGGCATGGGGCCAAAATTAGATGAGTTCAGATGTCCGAGAGGGTTGTGGAACTGGAGGAGATTATAGAGGCAGGGAAAGACCAAGCTGTGAAGGATTTTGAAAATGGATGAAAATTCTAAAATCAAGACATTTCTTGACCAGGAGCCAGAAAAGGTCAGGTGAGCACAGACATGACAGTTGAATGGAACTTCTTGTGAGTCAAAATATGGGCAGCAGCATTTGGATGACCTTAAGTGTATGGAGAATACAGTATAGGAAACCAGGCAGGAATGTATTGAAACAGTCAGGGCTGGAGGTAACAAAGGCAGGAATGAGGGTTTCAGCAGAGATGAGTTGAGTCAAAGTTGGATGATGTTTCAAAGTTGAAATTAGTTGGTCTTGGAAATGGCACAGATATGAGATCAGAAACTCATCACGGATCAAATATGCCAGCAGGGTCATGAACTGGTTGGCTTAATCTAAGACTGCTGCCAGGGAAAGAGATGGAGTTGATAGCTAAAGTTTGGAACTTTAACCAAAGACTTTAAACTTCCCAATATTTAATTGGAGGAAATTTCTGCTTATCCAATACTGGATGCCAAATTAGGAGTCTGCTAAGAGAGACAGTGATGAGGTGGAGCTGGCTATTGTGAGTGTAGATGTGAAAACTAACATTGTGTCTTTGGATAATGTTGCCAAGGGGCAATATGTAGGTCAAAGTAGGATGTTGGGAGATGTGTGTATTGTAGGTTTTGTAATATCATTGTTCATGTGCTATATTATTATTATTTGGAATTTCTTTAGCTTATTACTTTCTTTCTGGCAACTTTGCTGTAACAGTCAATAGGATTTTTGAGTGAGGTGTATTGCTTTGCTCTTGAACTCTGTGGTGGAGGAAGGGACTAATGACAAATCTCTGAGCTTCCTTCTCTCCCGCTGAAGATGTGCCAACCTTCCACTCAGTAATTTGCCACTCTAACATGACTACAATTGGGAATTCAATAGGACTGACAAAAATCATACTTGTGTCCACTCATCACTTCAATATGTATTATTCATTATTGCTGAATCACCCAGCAATAGTGAGATTTTATTTATAGTGTATTATTAATTTATGTCCCTTTGAAGCAATTAGTTAGCTTTCCTTGTCGTTACAGTGTGGAGCTAGAGGAACACAGCAGGTCAGGCACCATCAGAGAAGCAGGAAAGTTGACATTTTGATGAGTCCTGATGAAGGGTCCCGACCTGAAATGTCAACTTTCCTTTTCCTCTGATGCGGCCTGACCTGCTGTGTTCTTCCAGCTCCATACTTTATCAACTCTGACTTCCAGCATTTACAGTTGTTGCTATCTCCTAATTAGCCTTCCTTCTTATGTTTATATTCACATTTGAAATATTTTTCTCAAGCCCTTTACAAGGGTATGATCACCTAAAACTTAGTTTATTAATGTTACCCCTTTGACTGCCAGCATCAATGCAGTGATCTAATTTATGTGCCACTTGTGCATTATATAATTACAATCCACTCCGTTCTTGTGTACCATTCCATGGCTGTCCTCCACTGTGAAATAGTCATTACCCTGACAATGAAGTGGTTTTGCAGGTGATACTTTCAAGGCTGAGGGCTGGATTTTTGTTCTGGAAGAAAGAATCAGGACCCAAGATTTTTCCACAGATGTGATCCTGTCTCCATCCAAGCAGTGTGCGCAGGCAGAGTTTTTATCTGCTGTAGAGTGGATCAGCCTAGAGTTGAGAGCCCAGCTCTGGACAGACACAGGCTGATGCTAAGGTGGCCAGGTCAAAAGAGCCACCTCCGTTAACAGAGACATTGCGCAGTTCAGATTATTGCAAAGCCATCCTCATAAAATGGGGCCTCTTATGACCTGCCATTTCAAGTCCCACCTGCTCCAGAGGTGTGTTGTAATGTATCTGAACAGGTTAATTGGAAAGTTAGACTAATAAAACCCTCCTCAGCCCCTTGACTCCATATCTCCTTCATCCCTACTTTATCCTCCTTACCCCCTTGATCTCCTCATCAAACAAGGCCTCCCTCACCCATATTACTCCTTTCACCATCGTCATCCCACCTCACTCTACTTCACTCCCCTCGTCGTCTCTAATCCACTCACCCAAAATCCACTTTAAGATAGAACCCTAAAGCCTTAAAATAGAATTTTGAACTTGTTGAAAAGCTCACTTCTTTGTTAACATCTGTTCACAAACATCATTTGAATACATAGTTAAAACATTATCCTCTTCAAAAGCTCAGAAATCTGTCAAGTTTAGCAAGCTTACATTCCCCATGACAGCTTTCTAAACTGACCCTGTAGTACGGAATTCATTAGCACTTTAAAAGGTAATCAAACTATTAAACTGATATCCTCCATGTTACACTATGTTACATTCTACACTATAGAATCCATTGGTGCTTTTGATGGCAGCCATAAAGTTGGCTAAGCTGTTCTGTAAAGAATTAATACAGCAGTGGGAAGAGTTCAGGATCTCACATAGGACTAACCTTTCATTATTGTACAATGCAAACTAACATTTTATCCAGTGGATAATTTATTTGAAGACTTCTGAAGGCTTTTTTCACTTTTACAATGCTGCCCTTTCACTTGACAGCTTGCCATTTGCCAGACAGAACATCCTGATAACCGTATTATTCAATCACAGCTCTGCCATCATTTCCTTTAATGTGGAGGTGCCGGTGTTAGACTGGCATGGACAAGGTCATAAATCACACAACACCAGGTTATAGTCCAGCAGGTTTATTTGAAGACACAAGCTTTTGGAGTCTTACTCACCTGTCTTAAGAAGGAGAAGGACTGCGAAAGCTGATGTTTTCAAATAAATGTGTTGGACTATAACCTGGTGTCGTGTGATTTCTGATAATGTACTTTAGTAAGCATTGATATAAATCAGGCTACAGATTTGCTGCAAAGGAGATATCACCAGTTTATCTACTATTTATACATTTCTTGCACCCAGTCTGTAGTTCATGGCTGCACTGTGCAGGTATCATTGAGGAAGACTGCCAAAGTGTGGCTGGCTTGCTGTAATGTGGAGGTACTGGTGT